CCAATTCGGGGTGCGACCAGAGTCACGGAACGAATTAAGTTCGTAAACTGAGGTTCCACTGCATCAATTTCAGGAACTTAAAGTTAGAACATTTGACTAAGATAGGGTAGTAGATAGTTCATGCATCCAGGATTCTAGCGGTTCCTTGCTCAGAGTCAATGTCTTTTGAATCCCTTAGAAATGTTTTCTAAATATAGGCGCTAAAGATGGCTGCCCCCCCACCCAAGCTTACCTTCACTGATTCCATATCTCCATATTTTAAATGTGGTTTTGAATTATGGTTCTCTATGACATGAGTCTCTCATATTTTGATGGTACAGAGTAGACCATATACCAGGGAGGATCAGAGTATGCAGTAAAATGCCACTGTGTAGTGCTGATTTTACAATTCCTGAGCATTAACTGGGTTACCTGCAATGCAGTCATGTGGGCTATTTAGCGTGGAACCGTGATGATAACTTGCCTGTTTTATGCTGCTTCCAGAATTCTGAGCAAAGCAACTGGATCAACAGTCTACATAGCATCAATCTATACAGATGATTCATCCTCCTCCAAATCTAACAGGTGATTTGAACAGAGGGAAGCAATAGTAATGAGGAAGTAAATGAGGTTAAAAAGCCTATGAAATACCTGAGGAAGAAAGAGGAGAGAGATGTTGAAGTATTGGGGGTATATTTTGCTGCAACAACTGGCATAGGCATACTCAGTGGAATGTTACAGTGCTTGTATGGATTAAAAGTTGGTAGAACGTATGGAAAATGGAAGGAGCCTCTTGAGGTTCCAACATGGTTAGCATCTTGGTGAAGGGTGTAGTTGGCCACTTTCTACAGATGATAAGGCTGCCTTTATAACACTGACTTCTTAGGATTCTTTTTGTGTAGAGTAGGGTGGTTGGAAAGGCAGCCGTTCCTCTGAGATGGCTCTCTGATGGTCATGCTTCGAAGAAGATCCTGCTGCTAATTTCCCTTCAGTCCATCTATCTTACGTGTCGCTTCATCTTCTATAGGGCTGTGACAAATACTGCAATGGATGCCTATTTTGTTTACAAGAATGGCACAGCTCTGACTGGCGATCGTGTGCTCATGTAAGTGGCAGGTTGCTGTCAGGCTAATAAACGGAGCAGGGGGAAGGAACAGAGGCGGCCAAGTAAAAGTGCCATGTGCAAGGCTAGCCCACTCAGCTGTTAGTGTGACACTGTTGGAAAAGGAAGTGCTCGAATTAAGAGGGAAAGGTAGGGGCCTTTAAATGAAGCAAATCTTGTCCCCCCCCCCCCAATAATTTTAGACAAAGAATGACCTCACACTTTCTAAAATAGTATTTTAGAACTTGTATTCTCTCCCCAGCCCCATGTAACTTGAGCCTGGGGAAAACATCTAAGTGTGTCAGTGTACATGGAGCTACACGGGAAAATTTGATGGAGCACACAGGAGAAACAGTGCAGAAGAAGGCTGAGATTTAGGAAGCAATCCTAGGGGACAGCTCAGCATAATGGCACAGAAAAAAACCAAGAGGGGCTGCAAGGCACTAAGTGAGAGGTTGGAAATAGACGTTTTTTAAAAGATCTTTTTAAAAAAAATTTATATATTTATTTTCATTTCATTTCATTATTTCATTTTATTTATTTATTTTCATTTCATTTCATTTCATTTTTTATTTTCATGCTTAATTCTATTGTAATTGCAAATACCAAACAGCTCTTGGAAAACTTCCTAATCAGCCTCAAAATATATTTTCTCCAGGCTCATTCGAAGAAATCCTGAAGAGTTGCAACAACTTGTCCAACTTGGCTTGTTGGTCATTGTGAGTGTCTTTATCCTACTAAATCTTCCAAATTCAGAGGAGTTGAATTTGAAAACAAAACTGAACAGTGGGGATGGAAGCTGCCCAAGGCTTGTAAAAAGAACTTTTAAGATGGGAACATCCAAGGCAAGATATATGGCCAGAGAGGACAATTTTCTGCCAGAAGTGAGCTAAACAGCTAAGGGAGAAGCATATAGGTGAAGCCAAAGTTTCACCTGGAGAAACAGGCATCCAGCAAGAATGGCCACATGCAACTTCATGCTTCAGCTTTTGCAATCCCTTGTTAGTAGCCAGGGTGGATGGCAATGATGGAATTGTAACCCAAAATCTTTAGAGGGCAATGAAGTCAGAACTAGCACGGGGAAGTCCTGTCTGTAACAAGTCCTCCTCAAGTCAAGCTTGGCATCTGATAGCTTCTTGGACACGTGGATGCAATTTTCTGAACAGCACTATGGAAGAAGTCCTGTTCTGTGATTTTTTTCCAACTTCCCAGCCTAGTCTGCAGCATTAGCCTAAATGTAGTGTAGATGGGTCTCCCCCAAATTAGCATTTTCCAGATGTTTAGACTAGAGTTTCTATAATAACCAAGCAATATGATTCTGCTGAGTGTGGACAGTGTGAGTTGTGATTTGATATGGGGAGCACCAGGATGGGGAAGGCTAGAATGGATTCTCTACTTGTTGAGCCAGTGTAATGCATTTGTATGTTCCCAGGGCCCTGGGGATGTGAAAGAGCCCAAGAAAGAGACGGAGCTGTTTGGTATTATTGCAGGATTGGCTGCAACTGTCGTCCTCCTCCTCCTCCTCCTGACTGGGACAATAATTGGCATGAGGAAAAGGTACAACTTCCCCACCAACTCAGTTTTCCAACTTTTTTCTTCTATTTCTGATCAGATACTGCATGAATTCATTGCACCCAGGTTTTTCCCTCTGATTGCAAACCCTAAACTCTTTTGCCGTATTACACTGCCTCCACATCTTTAAAGCCAGTGCAACAGCTACCTCCTTCAGGTGGTCTATTCTTCTGCCATCAAGGACTGCCTTCAACCTGCTTCTCAAATTGGTACGACAAAGAGTTCTTCCTGCTCTTTCTTTCTTTTTGCAGTTATACGAGGAAGTTGAAGGCACTCAAAGCCTTGAAGGTGGCTTCAAATTTCTCAGCAGATGGAGTGCAGCAGGCAGCTGCTATTCCTGGGACCAACAAATACAATACAGAAGGGTATGTGGGTTTTTTGCATGGGGAGTGGTTTGCTGCACTAGAGAGAGGCAGATACAGCTTGTAACAGAGAAAATGCCTGGGGCCCTGACTGTGTGCAGGGACCCACTTCTTGGTTGTGTTAGGGACTGCGTTGTTTCTCGGCTGCCTGTATTTTTCATTTTTATAATGTTTGCTTTCATATTTATTATGTTTTAATTTTGTCTGCCACCCAGAGTCACTTGTTGAGATGGGCAGCCATATAAATTGGATAACTAACTAACTAAATAAAATACAAGTAAGAACTTTAAGCTCCTGCCTCCTGGAAGCCATCTAGCCCTTTCCATTGCTAATTTTCAGTGATAAAACTCCATCTGTTGGTCAGATGCTATGCTGAATTTGGATATGATGGAACCATACAGCATCTTCAAACAAGCAAACAAGCGAAAAGCTGATGTGGCTAAAATTGGAGACTTTGGAAATTATGGCAGAGTTGTGCTGTTGAAAGGATATGGAAGTGCCCAAGGAATGTTTAAGACCATTTATCAGTCTGAAGAATATGAAATCTTTCTCTCTGAAGCTTCAAACCTGTTATAGGAGGGCAAAATTAAGATAGCAGTTGCTTGTTGCTTGGATAGAAGGTAATCCACATTGTGGAAAACCACAAAGTTTTAGTACCCTTTGTGTGTCACCTTGGCAATTGCAAGTGATGGTGTATAGTTTGTGGCATATACAAGAGTAGCTGTAGGGCACGTTAGTTACCAGATGTTGTATTATGGCATTCTTTGCTGAGCATAGCATTGGACAGGTTACATTTCTGATAGATAAAGACACTCACCTGTAAACCATTCTTCTGTAGGGCTAATCCTGTGCTTGGTTTCTCCTTGGACTCTTCTGTGAACCTTGGCTTTGAGGAAAATGCCAGTTCTGAAGTGGCCAGGTAGTGTGATGAATTTCATCCCTAATTTCTCACCATCTATGCAGAATCACATGGTGATTATGCTAATGTGACTGCTTTACTTACCCAAGGCCTTATCCCACCTCCCCCCACCCCGCAACTTAATTTTGTCATTGAGGTGCTGAATTTTCCACACGTGTTAAAGGGGGTTATGGAGACTTGCAGCTAGAGATGACAAATAGCCCCCTGGCTGGTCAAGCTGCTTTCTGTATTACAGCCTGAACTCTCTGGATGAAAATATGGTTGATGCTCCACATTACTCGATTCCTGCTGAACGGAAGGTGAGATACCTGTCCCTACTTTATTGCACATTTTTTGGCTGATGATTTTTTTGAGAGGGGGAATCTACCCTTCCTTCCAAGTAAATATATTATTTGCTATATCTAAAATAAGTAAACCTCCTTTCTATTTATAAGGGTTTTTTTAAGCTATAGGGATTTTCATATATGGAAAGTATTAAAACCAAGTTGCACATCTTTACATTCCTAGTTAAGCCCTACTTTCAGCTTCTGCTTCCTTGATCTGTGATTAGCATACCCAAAGAGCAAATGGAAATTACCTGCTGTCCTTTATCTGTGAAGGCTTTTTCCATTTGGACAGAACCTCTGCCCTGTCAACCAAAACATCAAGAACTCTGCTTATATGATCACCAGTGGGCCAGTCCTTCTATGCCAGTGTTTCTCAACCTTTGCAACTTTAAGATGTGTGGACTTCAATTCCCAAAATTCCCCAGCCAGCAATTCTGGGAGTTGAAGCCCACACATCTTAAAATTCCCAAAGTTGAGAAAGACTGCTCTATACAAAGCTAACTTATATTCTTCCCAAGATTAATATATCCCCTCATTTGTAAGAATGCCTAATCAATAGAAGAGTAATTATACGTCGTCCATGAGCTGTGTATTCTATATTGCGGAAGATAGTCTGATATCAGTAGGGTTCTTTGTACCATGCCTTTAGAAATCTATAGGTTGGATGCTTGCCCTACTTGACTTCTTCAGACAGCTGAGGTAGGGGGCAAGGGGCTGGATTCAGGGAGATTTTGGAAAATATGGTCAGGCTGCAGTTGCAGAGGATCCTCAAGGAATTGCATTATCTGGTTCCTCTATAGATAGGTTTCAGGGCCAAATATGGAATGGAAATGGCATTGGTCACCCTTGTGGATGACTTCCAACAGGCCCTGAGTGGAGACAGTGCAACTCACTCCGTCCTTTTAGATATCTCAGTGGCATTTGATACCATTAATTATGGTAATTGTCTGGAACACCAAGATCAAGGACTGTGCTTATATGATCACCAGTCGACCAGTGTTTCTCAACCTTGGGAACTTTAAGAAGTATGGACTTCAACTCCCAGAATTCCCCAGCCAGCAATTCTGGGAGTTGAAGCCCACACATCTTGAAGTTCCCAATGTTGAGAAACACTGCTCTATACTGTCAAAGATGACCCAGTAAGCTAGATTCACACTTTGTGGTAAGTCATAGATCACTGAGCAAGCTATAGTGTTTTGGTTCATGCATAACATATTATAAACAATGGACTGTAACTCACAAAGCCAGCACTAACAAAACAAGGTTTGTGGTTTAGCCCAATCTCTTCATGAAGATCAGATCATCAGTAAGGGCTGAACCAGATGCAGCTACATCTGTACACCTATGTTTCCAGTTCACCCCTCACTCATCTTTATGAAGAGATTGGTCTTATGGTGCTCAATTTTATATCACTTGTCGTTAGGCCTTTCCAATCTCTGCAAGGAACGGCATGAGAAGTAAGTCCACCATATGTTCACACAATCCCATGCACACTCACAGCCATAGGCTACACTGTGCTTGGCTTTCTACAAGGGTACCAGATGGCCAAGTACGTGTTTGAAAACAGAGAGTGGAAAGACACACATTCATCTGTTGTGCTGGGCTGTGCTCTAGAAGGCTAGTGTTCTGGAGGAAAAACCCCAAAAGAAAATGCTTTTCACACACTTACAACTTTCCCCAACCTGGGACCCTCCAGATGGACTGGGACTACATCTCCAGAATTTGTCACCGGTATAGACAAAGGCTAGGGATTCTGAGAGATGCACTCTCAATCCATTCAGAGAGCACCAGGTTGGAGAAGGCAGTTCTGTGATAAAACAGAAGCAGCGGCTTCAACAATTGTATATTCCCATGTTTCCACTATAGATCTGCTGTTAGAAGTATCTTCCAGCTCCTACCTGTAAGTGTTGAGGTGCTGCATTCCAGAAGGTGGGCTGGTGGGTTGAAGAAAAGAGTACAGGATGTGGCCTCTTTTTTTAAAAAAAAAATCCAGATCTCAGGTCTTAAGACTGACAAAGCCTAGGATATGGTTTCTATACTGTGTGGCAATCCAAAAATATGATATCCAGCACTCGTATCCCACAGAAACAATAATCTTTAAATATGATCTCACTCTTTCCAGCTGGACAAAGCAGATGCTCGGTGTGAAACAAACAGTTGGGAAGAGCCCTTGAAAGCTGCTTTAGATAGTCACAAGAAAGACAAGCCACCACAGCAAGGGCTCTCCAAGCAGGCCTTTGGAAAACCTTGCTTGGATACTACAGAACTATGACTTCACCCATTTCCTTCTGGCAAAACAATGACCCAAACTGGTATAGCAACTGTGACCTGAAGATGTTGGAATACCAATGAAATAAATAATAAAAATAAAAAATAAACACATTGGAATATTGTCTTCTCTGTGGCCTAAATCAATTCAAGGTCTGCACCTTAAACTGCACCAGGTCTGCCCTAAACTAAACTAAAAGATCAGACAAGATCATGGAACCAGAGAACTAGAAGAAGCTCCTTGGGCCATTAGGTCCAGCCCCCTTCTGAGTGCAGGAATCCAACTGAAAGATATACACATGTGGCTACTGCAGAGAATTGTTAGTAAAACAAAATGCTTCAATGGAGACAAGGCAGAGAATAAAAGTTTAGTATAAAGCTACTGGTAACCAGTATGGTATAATGACTGAAGGTACTGGAGTAGAAGCTGGGGCACTATGAGTTCTCAACCTGCTTTAAGCATGGAAGCCAGCAGGTGACTTTGGGCCAGTGACACACTCCCAACCCTAGGAAGAAGGCAATGAAAAACCATGGTTTTTAATGTTGCCAAGAAAATTGCATGGGCTTGTCCATGTAGTCGGTGAGAGTCAAGACTGGCTTCAAGGCACTGCTAGTCTCTGGGTAGAAGCCAAATTCTTGTCATCCTATCTCATTGTTGCTGGAAAAGGCATAGGCCTCTTGCTATTTTATTTCAAACATATAGCATGGCCAGATGGTGGTTTTCATGTGAATCTCAAATATCTTCAAAAATAATCCAGCACAATTGTTCCCCTCCCCCCACTTCTTAGAGCTTCTGCAAAAGGAAGTACTGATAACGTCAAAGCTTTTCATTCTCCTGCAGAGATTTCTAAACCTTTTATTAAGATGCCTAGAAATGAGCTAATAGAACTGTCCCAGCAAACACACATTACTTTCTCTCAGGCACAGTTGTTTGTATGTGGTTTCACTTTTGGTTCTCTAACAATGTATGGCCTGCGGGGTTGATGCCCCCATAAAATAGAATAAAGTAATTCCTCTTTGGGTGTCATAAGAAAACAAATATTTCTTAGTCTAGTATTCTAACTTTACTGTCAGGAGAAGGAAAAATGCTTGTAGGATTTTTTTTTTTACCCTGGTATCAGTGTAACTTGTAGGTTCAGGGAAAATAGACATTTTCCATTTCTGGAGTCTGTATAAACTTGAATGCTGGCCCAATCTGGAGTACCTGACGAGTATGACACTTGTAATTCATGACTCAGAGGATAAACTTGTAATTTTAAGAACATTCTTCCTGAAGGTTGCAAAAATCACTGTTTTCCAGCTCTTTCGAGAACCTGCCAAGGCGTCACCTTGAGAGCCCTTCACCACAATTTCCACCATTCTCAGCAGGGAGACTGTTCAGAACTTCAGCCCAATAAAAGGAAACCACCCCTTCCTCCCAACACAAAGAAAGCTTTTGGAGCAGGAAATGTTGATTGTTGTGTTGGGTTTGTTTGGGTATTTTGGAGAAAATTTTATTATCCAACAGCTAGGTTTACAAGTGGTACCCTAAAGATATAAAGAAAGGAAAAAAAAGAAACCAAAAGGCAAAATTACTCGTAACAATTCAGCATTGCTTGGTACTATAAATCCATATGGCACGTAAACACCATACTGAGAACAGCACACAAGGCAGGGCGTGGGAAGGCTCTTCAGTGGCTCGGTAGGTTTCCCCTGTATTTCTGAGGAGGGATCAGGGGGAAGTGCATTGGCCATAGCCTCAGCTGCATTCTCCATTCTAGACATACTGCCGGGGGGGGGGGTAGATTTCACTACGCATATTTGTACTTCCAGGTTGGATGCCTCTCCCCACTTCCTCTCTCGCATGCCTGAGTCTCAGCCGAATGTGCTGGTAGCAGAAACCCTGTGCCTATTATGTGCTTATTACGCTCTCTGACCTGCAAGGCTGAGGCCCACACCACAAACTGGCTCTGCATCTTGCAACTGGGAGGCTACTTGTGAACACTGAGCGCTCTAGGAACTGAGGAATGCAGCTGGCTGAAGGATAACTTCATCCTCCAGCATGCCTTCCAAAAGCCCTGTTTAATGTATCGAGGAGAGCTTGCCAGCCCCAAACACTTTAGGAATAGCTTTATGCGGGCAGTGCTTCAACATTTCCCTTTTTGCAGCTGGGTGTACCAAATCTAGGGCTAACATTTGCACCTCAGCAAATGCCTGCTAAAAGTGGTTACAAGGCTAGACTTTTCCATCAGCCAGATGCTCCCCAACAGCAGTGCTAGTTGGAGATGATAGATGGTGTTGTCCAACATCTCTGGAGATCACTGGGTTGGAGAAATCTGACATGGATTCCCTCTCTTGTGCAGGAAGGCAGACAGGCAAACTATTCATTTGCTTGCACTGGTTTACAAAGGTTTTAAAAGCTACTTAGAGTTGAACACCCCCTTCTTCCATGCACTCTGCAGATGATAGTTAGCCTTTGTTGCCTGGAGATAATGCAGCAATCAGGGAAGCTGTTCCCAGGCATCCGAAAGAAACACACTCTTTTGCATCACAGGAACAGAATGCGGCCTGGCTTTTGAGGGTCTGGTGAAGAGATCTTTACACTCCACCCAGGAGTTCAAGCAGGTCTACATCCCCCATTAGCCACGTAACACTGCAAAACAAATCAATATTCTTCTGCCAAGGGAGGGAGGGAGGAAGGAAGGAAGGAAGGTTCTTCAGGTGTAGCCAATCCATTCACAGTCTTGCATAAATTATCATGTGCTGGATGTTTTCAATCAACTGTTTGTAAAGAGATACTGAAAGTCTTTCCTTTTGAGATATATCCTCCATTGCTTAGACTCAAAGAGTTCATCTCCAATCAGAGTATAATGGTCAACTTTTCTTCCTTTTTCATGGCAGGGCTCCCTGACAGAAGAAAATTCAGCAGAAGAACCCTTGCTTACTTTTCATGATGGGCAAACTGCCCACTTTCTGCTCACTTTCTGCCTTTTAGCAACAGCTAAATAGCACAGCCCAGGCAGGAAAAAAATCAGGGTGGAAAATGAAAATGAAGAGGGTATCTTCTGGCAAAAGTTAGAAAGAGATTTTTGGCACCATATTTCCCACTGGAAGCTCTTTTGAAACAATAGTTGATGCAGCTATCTGGACAACTACCATCAAAAAGAAAAAAAAAGAATCTGGGTTTCCCCCACATTACCATCCTCTGTTCCTTTTATCAGCTATTCCTGCCCAAATTATGCCATTTAGGGGAAAAGTACAAAATCCCAAATCCCCAGTGCATACATCAGTGAGAGAGGAAAAATGAGGGAGGTAAAAAAGAGGAACAGCAACATCAAGAAAAACAAGAATTTGGTCCAGAGTAAACACAACGATTTTTTTAAGCCCCCATCTCCTGACACATATGAATAAAGTATTTCAGCCCACCCAGACCCTTTGAAAAAAACATCTGGAGTATAACACCTGCCAATTTTCAGGTGGCAATGGACCTCATTGTTCTATAGAGAAAACAGTGTAGACTGCAAAGAGGCAAAGATACATACGTACATGCATTCAAGTGCACACAAGGTGCACATCGAGCCATCCATTCGCACACAAGACATAGATTCTTCCTAAGGATTAGTTTCTCAGGCAAATGGATTGGTTGGCGGCCTCAGCACCTTGGCCTGGGATCTGAGCCATCACCATGGGACCTCAGCAATGGTTGCTGGCCAGTGATGCTGCAAGGGGTTCAGGCCCACATGGAGAACCCACCATCAATTCAACATCCAGGCTATAGAGTTTTGACTTGCAAGAGGCACAGACATTAGGCCTGAGGAGGCTATGGGGACTATGCAGACAAAGGGCAAGCGATTAAATATTTTGTCTACATTTTTCTTTTGCCTTAGGAGTAACTCAGATTACTCTTGAGCTAACACCCTAAATTGTCCATCTTCTGTGCAAAACTAATCAAAAAATAAACCCAGACCCACACTAAGGTAATTCCAGTCCTGTGTACAAAAGGAAACTATGTGCAGAGTTTTTGTGCTGCCAAAGCCAAAAAAGTGGCTTCAGAGTAGGTACAGACACACACACTGCACCCTTGAATCCCTCCTTAAAGCAGATGCATCTTGATCTGGGCTTAAATGGTAACCAAGGAAAACATGTTAAGGAGTCATCAGTAAGATGCAGGAAAGTGCTTTAGAGCCAGCCTAAATGCCTCGACTCAACCATATTTTCCTGGGATTGTGTGGCCATCATGCAAACCCAGGAAAGATGCAGCTTCTGTAAGGCGGCACCAACAGGCGTGGCATATGTGTCCTGTCCGTGTGAATCACCATTTTGGTTTCAGTTCCAAAGTGCTGCATGTCCCTAGATACAAATCATACTTCATGAATTGAGTAATTTTGCTTGAAATTGTTCTGTTGGATTACTTCCTGGATATATGAGATGGCTGTGGAGGAAAGCTACTGGCAAGGAAAATACCATGACAGGAAGAAAGCTTATCCGTGTGGAGGGAACAAAAAAATAAATAAGGAGGAGCGCAGTAGCAGTTGCCTGTTCTACAATGTTACAGGGTTTTGCTTTCTCAAATCATTTTGAGAAGGGCTTCCAGATGGGTTGGATCACAAGTCCCATCACCTGCTATCACCGTGGCCAAACTGATGGGAGTGGTCATCTAATGTGCTGGAGGACACATGGTTGAGGAAGGCTGAAGATGGGAGACATTTGCCAATCCATAACTTGAAGAGCCAAGAGTGGATAAGTATTCAGGGCATAAATGTTTCTATTCCTAATTACTAGAGGCTCACATAGTACAATTTTTGGTTTGGCCTCAGTTCCTAAAGGATGGGGACTGGGAAGAAAACAGGCCTTCAAAGGACCCAGGAGTTGACATTCTGCATGACATTGTGGAAAACTGCCTGCTCAGCACGGCAGCTCTGAAGCTATCTCCCTAAGAGTTACCTCCAAAGACTTCAAAGGCTTGATCTTTCCAAGCTGTATTAAGGAGATAATACTTCAGAAGCACAACCATGCAAGTCTGCTGTAGCAAAACAAAGCTCTTGCTTTGGATCTACAGGGTGAAATGGCATAACTGTCAGTAATTTGGGAACTAAGGCTGCTGGTCCTTACCCCATCAACCATTTTTAAAAAATGGTATGTGAGAAAGTACTCAGTACGCATGGAGCTGACAACTCTAAGTGACCTTGTTCTGTGTAGCCTAAAAGCAGATTCAGTGACTGTTTCCTGAAGCAGCCCTACCCAATCATGCCCTATGTTACTGTCATAGATTTTTCAGTACTTGAGCAACAGGACCAAGAAAGATGTTGGGGTGGCCACAGTGGCTGTTTTAAAACATGCTCCAGTTAAATGGATAGCTCTTCCTATTCGTGGATCCCAAACACTTAAGGAAGGTGGCTTTTAACCTGTTGAAGAGGATGGCCAACTCTATTCCCTTATATCTTGCAGGATATCCTTCAGAGATCTCAATGTAATCTATCGTGTGATTATTTTAAAACGACAAATGTGGGCTATCAGAGGGCTCTGTCAGCTGGGCACCAAAGCCCAAGGATGATCTCTATCCTATAGTAAATAGATTGCTTAGACCTTTGCATTTTGTCATGGAAGTCTGTCATTGTGGAGATTACACATCCAGCGTGAAAAGCTGCACTCCAGATGTGAGCAGCAGTTATGAACACTGCCCTCAGGGATATGTAAGCTTTTCAAACACCTATTTCTGGGCAGGGCTCAAAGTTCTCCAGCCAAACTTCTTATGTCAGCCTTGGAATTTAGTATTTGGCCTACATTTTCAAAATGTGTCTTTTGAAGGACAGTAGATAGATAACGTTATGGTTTCAAAAGACTAGGAAGGGGTCTTCTCCCCACCACCACCACCATTGCCTGAGAAACTACATAACATTTGCATTTTCCAGCTACAATAAAACCCAAGAAAATGACAAGAGCACATTTCACTCCACAGCTGGGCCTCCACGAGAGCAGCAGCGGGGCCGTCGTACATTCTGTAGGAGTGCCCTGAACACACTAGGCTGCCTCTTGATCTCACCCTTGCGTGGGGCAGCCTTGACAGAACTGGAACGGGTACTTTGAGGAGTCATCACCATCTGCCGACCATGCTCTTCAATCTGCTTCTCCAGATGTTTCTGGATTGCCATTCCCAACACTTCTACCTCCATGGACGCTCCATATACTTCCCATGTCATCCCCTTTTCATCCCAGCTGACCTCCCGTATTGGCTCTGATGTCTCTTCCTGTGCCCCCTTAATGTGCACTTCAGGATAGGATGATTGAGGGGATTTGGTTACTGGAGTCATAGGTCCTGTGGCCACTGATCTGGTCTCCACTGGGATGGACACTTGCATTTCCACATCCCTTTTCGTGGGTTTCTCCTCTGGGCCAGGACTCTTCAGAGAGGATGTCCCTAAACCTCTCGTGTGAAATGTGAAAGCTGTGGAGCCGTCAGGTGGATTGATAGGGCTGATGGCTACAGACACCAAAGATACACGATTGTCAACTTGAGTTCCAGCATCATGCTGGGGAGGCGTGACTTCAAATACACAGGTCTGGGCAAGAAGTTCTACAGATGCCATCTCCCCATTGGTTGTATGGTCTTCACTTGTAGCTATGCTGATCATTTCCACTTTTTTTCCATGAGCTTGGTCTTGACTCTTGCAGTTGGAGGATGTTGCTTCCCTGAGCCCTGTTTTCTCTTCCATGGATTCACTTGGGCTTGATTCTAACTCACCTGATGTGCCTTGATGTTTGACTTCATAAGAAATGCTGGTGACAAGTACATCTGGCACTTTACAGGAGTCCCCAGGTGGGTGAGCTTCTGCAACAGGGAACCTTGTTTCCTCACTATGACCCAACTGATAGCTTGTCGTAACTGGCTTGTCTAACTTCCCTGATGTGGTTTCAGCTTCAGAGAGTTCCAGAATAGACTGCTTCATAGCTTCTGATGCAAAGAGACTTTTGGAACCTTCATTCCCAAATTCCACAGCTTCACAAATGTCACTGCTGATGTGTGATTTATCTCCTTTAGAGGCAAGAGGCTGCCCTTGACTTGTGTTTTGCAGACATGCAGGAAGTGCTGGAGTCATCTCGGAATGAACTGTTTTTGTTTGGATACTTTCTTCCTCAGCTTTACTTTTGATGGGTTCAAGAAATGCAACATGTTTCAGGGAGGTTGGTGTACTGGATGAGTCTTTATTAGGTCCTTTGAGGCAGGGCTCTGTTGGGAGATGCCTACATGCTTCTCCAGCAACAGGGCTAGCTTTTCTTTCCAGATGGCTGCAGACAGTCACTGAGCTACCCGGGATCTCCTTCATGCTCACATCCTGCTTACTGTTCTGCTTCCAGTCATGACAAGCAGCTGTTTCTCCTTTTGCTTCTGAGGGAGTTCCTCCAACACTTGTGTTTTTCAGAACAGGAGGCTCAGTGGCAGCAAGTAGATCTGCAGAAGACTTTGGATCTACAGCTGGAACCTTCTCTTTCTGGTTTGGGTTATCAACCATGGTGACTTTTTGGCTGCTGTCTTTGGTGCTGAGTTCATTTACACAGCAATTCCTCATGGTGAAATCACCACTTGCACAGCTGGCGTTTTGGAGGCAGCTGTTTTTTCTCCGATCACAAGGTGAGCTGCTGGTGGGCTGGTGAGCATCTTCTGGAACAGCTTCTTGCTTCAGCAATTGCAAAGCCTTGGTCTCCTTAGCACTGCCCATCTCTAGGCAGGACTTCTGCCATGCTATTCTTTGTACCTCTCTTGGAGGGTTCTGAAAGGAGAGAGAGGGTGGGGAAGAGACAGGACAATTATCTGAGGTAACCTCAAAGAAAAACACAATGATCTTAAAGCTATCTATCTTTGATGTCTTCTGGGTCAATGGTTCCTTTGCATTATTTGAGAGTGTTTAGTATGTTTGCTGCCTTAGCAAACAACACAAAATCTGAGAGCTGAAATGAGACGTGGCATTTTGCACAGTCTCAGAGAGGTTCACAGATTTCCCACCACTGAATTCTACTAAAGTAATTCCACCCCTTTCCTCCCTTCCCCTCTTCCTTCCCACTCCTTACTTTCATAACAGCTTGTTCAGGCGTTTAGTTCCATGAGTTACATACATATCTGCTCAAACAACATTGAACTTCTTATGCACGTATATAAATTGGTAGGAGTAGACTAAACTGTAGCCCTTTAATTTATAATCTGACCTTGACAGAAACCCAAAGCACAGTCCATCACTAATAATAAAACTGTTGTACTCTTTTAAGTACACCATCTTCTTCATCTCACTAATCTTTAGAAAAAAATTATACAGTAGATCAATATTATTATTCCTATTTTATAGATGTAAGATTGAGGCTGACAATCTTAGGGTGCTTAAAGCCATGTAAGGGTGCTTAAAGCCACATAAGGAATTCACGGCAGAGGCAGAATTTTCAACTCTGTCCCCATAACTACAGTCTTTAAGCCACAGCCATGAGTTCCTGGAATCACAGAAAGAATCCTGCATTCTGATAAACATTTGATAGTGGCCTTTGATAATTCCACCAACTGGGAGATTTAATAGACCAAGGCTAAGAATGGAGGCCACCAAGACTGTGAAAATAAAAGATTCTGGCATCATAAACCAAAATTTGATTTTTGTAAAAGTTAAGCATATGAAATGAATGAACTGAAATGGGTCTAGAGTGGTTCCAATGCCACAGATTGCATACCCTGAGTGCACAGCTGACTGCTGCAATAACCTGCATTTGCACAAACCAACTTGGTGCACAATTTCTAGACATATATTTTGTAGAGAATCCATGGTGATGACAAAGAAGAGGCGTTATGTCCAGAAGTGGTGTATTAACAAAGAGCTGATCTATTGTTATGCCATATCACACCCACAGCATCCTCATGCTTGAATAAGCCACAGGATCTAGGGAACTACTTTTTATCCTGCTTATAGCCACAGGCCAGTGTAATCCAAACATACAAGAACAAGACAGCCAGAACAATTTGGATAAGAAGGACAAGCATCCTGCCACATTCCTACAATGAAAGAGAAACAAAATAAGTCCACTTAAGTGTTATTACTTGGAATTGGCTGGGCAGCTGAGGATCCTTTGCAGCCTGCAACAGCTCTCTGTGGGGCCAGTGAATGGCACTCGCATTCCCATGGCTTCTCCTAATCTCAGGGGCAGGTTTGTGTTGTGGTCCTTGGATTATGTCAGCCGTGAAGAAAAAGTGAAAGATGGAGACCTTTCACCTTTTTTGAGGTGCGGGGGGGGGGTAGACGAGGAAGTGGTGGTACGTCAGGGA